ACCGACTGACATGGGAAAAAAAAATTTTGTATAGAGGCAAGTCACATGCTAAACAATACAATAGGAAATTATGTACTACGTCAATAATTTTATTTTTCTGGTAAAGTATAATACAATGTACAAGATTTGACAACTACGCAAGCAAGGATGAGAGTGGTCCAAAACACTTCTCCACCCTATGTTATAAAAAATGATACAATCTCCCAATTGAGAGACTGGATTTAGTTGACCTGCCATTAAAAGGAGGACCGTGGACTTTGAGTAACCAGAGAGAGAATCCCTCATTTTCCAGAATTGACAGATTTCTTGTTTCATCAGAACTATTGCTGGAATTACCGTATCACTCAAAAAAAGTACTCCCTAGAACTTTATCTGACCACTTTCCTATTTGTCTTAATCCAGAAGGAATCCAGAGGGGACCTACTCCTTGGTTGAATCGACTTGGTCTACTAAGAATTTCAGTGACACCGCCAGTTTCAAGCTTGCCGGGAAGTTTAAATATCTGAAGGAAGAGATCAAAGTGGGCCTCACTACCGGCAGGGCTGAAGAACTAGAAATCAGAAGCATTATCACAGAAATTGAAATTATGGACAATGCTGAGGGGACATCGGGTCTCACTGATTCTGACAGAGAAAAGAGGACACTTCTGAAACTTAATTTAGCCAACAAATTGAACATGGAAGCTATCTCTTGAAAGCAAAAATCCAGAGAGAAATGGCTTAAGGATAGTGATAGAAACACCAAATATTTCTACTGTTAGGCTAACCACAGAAGAAGAAGTAACTATGTGGAATAGCTCCTCGTTGACAATAAAAGCTTCGAGGGGAACACTGCCATAAGAGAAGCCACCAAAGACTACTTCCTTGACCTGTATTCTGAGGAACCCTGTGCAAGACCTATGCTGGACAACCTAGAATTTGCCAGAATCGATGATCAAGTTATTCTGGACCTGGAAACTGATTTCAGTGAAGAGGAAATTTTGGCCAGCATCCGTGCTTGTGATGGGGACAAGGCCCCGGGACCCGACGGCTTCAACCTCAAGTTTTTTCAGGAATATTGGGATGTGGTGAAGCAGGATTTCCTAGAGTTCTTCAATGACTTTCACAAAAATTCCTCTTTTGTGAAATCAATCAACTCCACATTCCTTGTCCTTATCCCTAAAAAAAAGGATGCTACGGAAAAAAGAAACTTTAGACCAATAAGACTTATAGGCAGCATCTACAAAATATTATCAAAACTTCTAACCAACCGTTTATCTGAAGTGTTACACTCCATCCTCGGGGATTCTCAGCAAGCTTTTGTCCATGGGAGACAGATCACAAACGCCATCCTTATGGCCAACGAAATTGTGGATGAGGTCTACAGGAAGAAAAGCCAAGGTATACTCTATAAGCTCGACATGGAAAAGACTTTTGATCACGTTTCTTGGAACTTTATTGATTACATGCTCGAACAAATGGGTTTCGGACCAAAATGGAGGAGCTGGATCCGCACATGCATCTCTTCCACCAGTTTTGCAGTCCTTACAAACGGTGGTCCGTCTAACTTCTTCAATGCTTCTAAAGGCTTGCGACAAGGCGACCACCTCTCCCCTTTACTCTTTATTATTTTCATGGAAGCTCTTAACAAACTGGTTGACAGAGCTAGAGACCTACAGCTTTTAAAAGATATTGTGGTAGGCAGCCAAGATAAACAAATGGAGATTTCACATTTATTTTTTGCCGATGACACCCTATTCTTTTGCCAATCGGATATAAGCTCAATTCTAAACTTGAGATGCATTGTTCTCTGCTTCCAAGCCGTCTCGGGTTTAAAGATTAATTACAACAAATCCGAGTTAGTGGAATTTGGCACCAACTGCCCCGAACCCTCTTTTGCTAAAGTACTGGGATGCAAAGCCACAAATCTGCCCATCAAGTGCTTGGGCATCCCTCTTGGTTTTAAACACAGAGTCAGCAGCTGTTAGGAGCCTATAATCGACATTTTCCAAAGTAGACCGGCCAATTGGAAAAAGAAACTCTTGTCAAAAGGTGGTAGGCTCACTCTCATAAAGAGTACTTTATCTAACCTACCCATCTACTACCTCTCGGTCCTTACAATTCCGGCTAGTGTAGCCAAAAAATTGGAAAGTATTCAATGTCGTTTCCTTTGGGGTGATTGTGAGAACAGCCGCAAGCTTCACTTGGTCAGCTGGGATGATATCAAACAACCTAAAGATAAAGGTAGACTGGGGTTAAGGTCTCTAATGATACTTAACAAAGCATTACACCGTAAATGGATTTGGAAATTCTGGAATAGCACAAACTGCCTTTGGAAAAATATCATTGAATGCAAATGGTTCAACAAGGGTCTGTACAATATGACCATATTAAACTGGAACAATTATGGAAGAAGCCTATGGAAGAGTTTCATGCAACATAATCATTATACAGAACTGCTCCACTTGGGTCATTGGTAAAGGCAACAAAATTCGTTTTTGGCAGGATGTGTGACTGGGAAATAGCAATCTCCAATCCTGTTTTCCCCACATATTTGCCATCATCCGCAACAAGGATATCCTAGTTGAAGAATTATTCGAGGGGAACACTTCTTTTCCGTGAGTCGTGGTTATCAATCGTAATCTCCAGGATTGGGAAATTGACGAATACATGGAATTATCTGAAATTACAGCTAATATACAGCTGAATTTCAATGATGACAGACTCAGATGGAAATTAAACAAAAATGGCACTTTCTCTGTTACCTCTCTTTACAAGTACTTGGCGAGCTTTGCAAATAGAAATGAATATGCTTTTCCCAGTAAAATCATTTGGATGTCACAAGCTCCACCTAGAATCTCGTTCTTCATTTGGAAGGCTGCAAAAGAACGCATCTTGATATTTGATAATCTCACGAAGAGAGGTTTCCAACTAGTTAACAGATGTCCCTTATGCAAATCTAACTTGGAAAGCTGCAGGCACCTTCTGTTATGGTGCCCAATCACTTATGGTTTCTGGACTGAAATCTCTACTGCCTCGTGGGTATTCACTGGGTTATAGCTGGCTCCATCAAGGCTGAACTTGCATGAGAGGGTCTCACCTTCAAGAACAAGTGCTTCCGACTAATTCCACTCACTATATTCTGAATTGTTTGGAAAGAAAGAAACAATAGAATTTTTGAGGATATTGAGAGGAATTTTGTTAATATCAAGGATAAATGATTACACCTTTTTGGTTCTATTATGTTAGGACACAACCTTGATAGTTTAGATGATTTTGGGCTCATTGTAAATACCCTTAACGAGCTGTAAATTCTTTGTACATGAGTGGTCCCCCCCTTGGCGCCTACTTAATATACGTCTTACACTTTCTTCTCAAAAAAAAAAGACAAGCTCTCAAATGTATCTTAAAATCAAAGTGAATCCAGGGTTAAAGCCTGATGCATGTAAATGCCATGACCTCGGCCAACAATAATTTCAAGTTCAACCTTCTTCTTGTCCTTGTGTGCCTTTCGGGGAACAATATTTACTTGCAGGCATACTCAAATTATTAGCCCATCTCAAACTTTACCCCATCTTTCTCTACTGTCATGTAAGATTACTATAGATACCTTTCATATCTTGCACCTTTTTGCTTACAATTTTTTCAAGGAGTAAACTTCTAGCATTTTCCTTTTAACTCAATGGACATTTAACAGTTAAAGATCCAATAGCAAATCTTTACTCCATTCGTAGCCTAATCCATTCAAAGCAAATTCTTGCAGCCACATGCTTATCAATGTGAAAACCATTATTGAAACAAACAGACAAAACAAGTAATAGCTTTTCTTATGATGACTGATCCATGAAAACAACTATCACCTATCCAGGATTAGGAGAGGGGGAAAAATGCAATTCACAATTTTTTTTGAGAGAAAAATGCAATTTACTATGTTCAATTTCTCATCATACCCTCATTGACTAACTACAAATAATCCAAATGTTGTATGTATCTACAAAATGCTTTTGACAGAAGGAAACACTAGTCCAGGTTACTTGCTAATTGTATACTTAAGGAAATATTTGATATATTGAGTGACAAAGTTAAGTGAGTCTTACCCTACCAATAACTGTGTTAAAATGAAACTGTGATGAGTACGGAAGGGCCTTAAACTACCCACGTATTACTCCTCATTCATCCAACTTGGGGTGAATAAGGACTACCCAATTGGATAACATAATCCAATTACTTATTTCCTTTCTACTTTACTCTTATTAATTAATAAATATTTTATAAAATCTGAAAAATAAATTTATAATTATTAAAATAAAATATTTGTAACTTATATATTAGTATATTATAAAAATCTTAATTATATTAACAGTTATTTTAGTCAAAGGTTTGTAAGCTAAGTCTTCTTATTTCCACCTAATTATTCTCTGGGCCATTTGTTATCTCACATTTTGAGCATCAAAAAAAGAAAACATGAAAATATTTTATCCTCAACATGCAAAATTATGGAAACCATGGACTTCTGAGTAATACAATTCCATATATATGTTGCTCTGGCATCAAAGAAGTTGTTCTTGTTTGACTGCATTTTGGATCTTTTATCTTCATTCACAAGCCAATTTTTGCTAATTGTCTCTGCAATATCCTCTCGAGCGCAAGTTGAAAGAAAGGAAAAAAAAGCTTTCTTTTTTCCTCAAGGAAGCCAAAAGAAAATCTTTATTCCCTGAAATGTACTGGAAAAAGATTTTGTATGCTAATGGGGAATGATAACGTGAAACTCTTTTGGAAGCATTTTTTTATTGTGCTGAAAATGAATCAATTTCTTCATTTTTGGTTTAGGGGATTTATTACTTCATTTTAAAACTTAATATAATAGTTTTTCTATAAATAATAAAATTAAGAATTATTTTGAAATTATAATATTAATATTTTAATCAATTGGGTTTGAGAATAATATGGTAACCCTGTTAAATATTTACTCCCCTACTCACTCTCTTAATTATCTCAAACAATAAATTTGCTTTTTACCCTACTGACACTACCCTGTTCAACTAACCTACCCTTTGCATTTTAAATGATTTCAATAGCCAAAAGAATTACTGTTATCAGCTGGGGCAAAATACTATCTTAAATTTTCTTCACCTCAATGATAGGTCCTGCTGATCAACTCAGAAAAAACATTATCAACCCCATTAACGCAAAGCCATACCTCCAAAGCCAGGAATAACTCCAAGTTGAAGTTCAGGTAATCCTAATTGTGCACCAGGAGTTGAGATCCGTGCATGGCATGCCTGGGAGAAAAATTAAAAGAAAATTAATAGAAAGTTTAAAAGGAAGTTCGAGCCCCAAGATATAGATAAACATACCATTGCAACTTCTAATCCCCCACCTAAGGCAAGGCCATCAATGGCAGCAACAGATGGTTTTCTTGCAGCTGTTATGATGGAAAAAAAAAGAAAGATCAATCAGACAGTCAATATAGATTAATACTACTTCTGCTGAAAGAATTTGAGCCATGGGAGAAGTCCAAATATGTACCTTCCAGGGTGTCAGTGATAATTTCTACTGAAACAACGCCAGGCTTTGGCCGTTCTGTCGAAAAAAAAAAAGAATGAAATTTTACCAAAGTTCAGGTTGTAAATTCGTTCAACATCTAGCATATGAGAAAGCGCACATACCCTTTCCTCCTTGGAAGGCACGGAAAGCTGAAATATCGAAGCCACCAGAAAATTTCCCCTTAGCTCCTGTTCCAATAACAAAAGATGTCAATATCCTCTCATCTCTAAAATTGGTTATGTTTCCCCGTTTCCTTCTTTCTTTTTATTCTTTTTCCATTTCAATTTTTGGCATAATGATCTCTTCAGACTTACCAGTAACAACTATTGCCTTCACATCATCTCTTCGGGTGGCTTGATCATAATTATCTTTCAAACTGTATAAAACTGGGGAAAGAGACAGGGAGAAACCAGAGTTAAAAGCTTGGTTAATCTTGTTTCGGAAACCCAATATCCACTTAAACAGAAACAAAAGCATTCAAACCACCAAAGTTTTAAGCAAGCCAAAGAAAATGAGGGCCAAATTTTCTCAAGCTTGGCGTTATTTCCTAATAGATACCCAAATTTAACTCATTTTCTTCTCCTTCCTAACTGCTCGCATCTAGTAAGATTTCACACCATGAAACCTAAAGATGAGATCGTGACTGATCAGCTAAACTAAAGAACTTTCCTGCTATATGTGTATATACTTTTCTGACTTGTCAACTAATTTCATCAAATAAACATCCAATAAAGGAATCGAGTACATGGAATATTAAGGTATCGGTACCCAACTTATAAAGAAATTATCATAAATAAATAAACCAGACAATTTTTACTTTAAGAAAATTGGGGGAGGGAAAGAAACGTCAGTAATGCACCTTAAACATCTTGATTACTGATTACCAGTTAACAATCGCGAGTATTACTCCTACTCATGTCGTATTTTAATGAAAATTACTGTCTAGATCATGTCAAGTAACTACCACTAAACTATGGCGCTCGTTCTCCCAAAATAATCCTGCCCCAAATACACCCACTGAACACAAACTACTCTAATCAAAGCATTATAGATAATGAATTTTGCAGCCAATGACTGGAATTCATTCTATTCACCATGAAATTGATAGCTAAAATACATAACCAAGAAAATTGAACAAACAAACGCCGTAAAAACATAACAAAACAAGAACTCCACTTAACAGACATCGCTAAGCAGATATAAAGCTGTAATGCAAAAAGATAAGATCTGATCAGAAAATAGAGAAAGCACCATCAAATGAGAGAGAATTGACGGGAGGATTAATGATGGTGATCACTGCAACACCATCAGCTCCCACTTCCATCACCGTTCTTCCCTTCGTTTCCATGGTTCTCTCCACTTCCGGTATGGTTATGATCCCCTGTTTCGGTCTCAACACGGGATTTGCTTACTTGCTACAGCTACAACTACTTCTGTGGCTATGAAAATGGCCGGCCTGCAACGAAAATTTCCGGAAAGGTCATGAAAAGAAGTAGCAGTTCGAAATTGATTATTGCGGGTGAGGATTTCAATGCAATGAAGTTAGAGAGGTTTGAACGTTAACGCGAGCAATCAGTATTTATGGCGTGGGTCGGGTTCTTCGCCGGACCTTGACGATCCCATTCTCGAGTTTCCGCGAGTGAAAACACGCTCTAACCGATGTGCATTTGAAATAAATTTTTTTTGAGCAAATTATTATTTTAATCCTAAATTATTATTATTTATTGAGTTCAAATAATTTTTAAAAATATTTTTAATATAAACAAATAAAAATTAAATTATCAAAATATAAAATAAAATAAAATTCTTCCCCAACTCCTTCTCCCTTTCATGAGTCCATCCTAAAATTAATTTTTTTTTTTTGTGATCAATAAAAACAAAATTCCATCCTAAAATACATATGAAATATTAAATTTAATTCATTTTAAAAATAATTTAAAAATGGAAAAATATCATATGAAAATTTTTAATTCTTTTTTTGCCTATATATTATATGATAATTTATTTTATAAATTTAAAAAAAAAAACACTAAAACTAAATTACAATGAATCTCATAATTTGCCAGAAATAACTGCCATTCTGGCGCGTGAATCAATTGATGAGTTAAGACAACAAAAATCTTCGCCCGTTTAATAAAAATAATAAAATATCAAATTATCTCACATATAAAGATAAGTGGCACGCAATTCCAAGTTTCTCTTGGGACTTTCAATATGTTGTTAAAAATGGAATTATAATAAAAAGGTAACAAATATTTATTTAATATAAAAATTAATATCTACGACGATAATAATAATAATAAATATAAAAAAAATAATGAAGATACTAAATTATAAGTTTGGTAATAATTACAAAAATAAGTCAAATTAAACGGCTTTCACAAACTTTCAATTGTGTATAAATTAATGTAAAATTTTTATAACTAAGCTATTAATGTATTTATAACACATAAATAAAAATATAATTTATAAGATGTAATTTTGTTCCCATGACAAAGAGATGGTGTAGCACCCAGAAAAGAGGAGAAAAAAAAAATAAAAAAAAAAGGTCACGTCAGCAGGCCCGGTCAGCAGTCCCGGCCAACCGGGGCCTGCCACGTGGCAAGACCGCGTCACTCCGAAAGGAGCCACGTTGGCGATCCGCGTGGGTGCGATCCGACGGCCCAGATTAAAACGAAATGAACGGCTGAGATCAAAAGGTAAGGGGTTATAAATAGAACCCCCACACCAGACCACAAACCCTAGCCGCCCGCCGCTCGCCGGAGAAGACGAACCAGAGACCGACCGCCGCCACCCGCCGCCGCACCGGGGAAATTTCCGACCGCCGATCGAGATAAATTTCATACCCCCGACTCGTTTTTCTCCGCTGATTCCTCCTATGGCC